ACTGTACCTTTTTATCTGAGGAAACCAGAAATACGGGCCTTAAGCTCTTCTGAAACTTGTCACGAGGCTCTCTGGCAAGAATCACCTTGCCACCAGCCTCACAGGGGCAAAAACTGCTAGTTATAAAAACTCCTCCAATTTCTAGGCACTGAGCAGACCTGTGAGGAAGTGACATACTGTAGGTGCTCAGTAAATACTGATGGAGTAAATTTTAGCAGCATCTACTAGTGGTTTAAGCATGTCTCCTGATGTTGGGTTTAAAAGTTTTTCTGTTTAAAAAGCTGTTGGTTGTGCTGGTGAAAGAGATTGTTCTGACTGGTGTGTAGTCTGCACCTGCTTCCAGCTCACTTGAACTTCATACAAGCCCTGCACACTGAGCTATCAGATCTCCAAATGTAAATCAGCCACGGACTACAGAGGTGTTCACTGAATCCTTACTATGTACTCCAGAATAAGCCACCTGTCCCCCTACATCGTTCTTTTCTTGGACAAGGTGTGACTTCAAATGAGTCTTCTGAGCTTTTGGATTGAGCCCTTGAATGTATTTTAAGAGTGCAATAAACTTAAAATATTCACATGTAATATTCTATGTGCAAATGAGCAAGTGCATGACTTACGCAAACACAAGTCATTTCTGCTTTGAATAGAAACAGAATTTAGGAATTAGAATTTTAGAAATGGAAAATCAAGTTGGTCTGATCTGAAGAACGCACCCAACATTTCTGGCTTACCACTAATGAGGAGTTCGAGACTGCAGTCATGGGAGCAGCATAAATTCTGGAGACTAGGACTCTCCCCATGAGATGAGTGAACACCGAGAGCCTTTCCCAGCCCAGCAGCTGTCTTGCTAGCAATACATTAAAAAAACCACTAAAAGCAACATTCCATCCGCAGTTCAACTTGAACAACCCCCTCTTCCCTTACCACCAAGGAATGCTGTTCTTGGCAAGGGATCATGTAAAGGAAACATCTGTGGAACTTCAACCAGTGAGGTCAAGGGAAAGTTGAGGCAGTTGAAAACTTTTCAGTCCTTTCCAGACCCAAGTCGCAGGTACCGAACAGAACAAGAGCAGCAAGATGGGTGCAATCCTAACCAAAGGCCGGTGACAGTGTCCTGACATTATCCTTTCTTAGTTCCATGGAAGCCTCTGACATGTTCTGCAAGGCTGGACAAAGTTCCCCATTTACTTGATTGCTCAACTAACCAAAAGGAGTTGACTGGGTCCCCTTAACACCTACACAGATGGGATTTGCAATTTAGCCTCATCTAATCACTATTTAAACCTTTTGTAGGTCCTGGGGCAACAGCTATGAATTAAATAAAATTCCTGCTCTCAACTATTCAAGTCGAATTGCTTGTGCTCCAGAAATACCACGTGTCTGAGCCCTCTCTTGCAGAGCAAGCAAACTTATGGATAGATATGCAGAAGTAGCTCAATGGTGACAATCCCTGGATATGACACCTCAATCATGAGCAATAAAATAAAAATAACAAGTGTGCCTACATCAAACTAAGCCTTTGTACAGCAAAAGAAATAATCAACTAAGTGAAAAGACAATCTACAGAATGGGAAAAACTATTTGTAAACTATGTATCCGGTAATGCGTTAGTACCCAAAATATATAAAGAACTCAGAAAACTCAACAGCAAAACACAAATAATCCAATTAAAAATGGGGGGACCTGCATAATGCGTGATCAAAACCGAAAGTTTCTGTGATGAATGCCCTTGTACTGTTCACCATGTCAGAATTTATTCACTATGTAAGAATTTGTTCACCATGTAAGAACTTGTTCGTTATGCTTCAGAAGATTGGAGACTGATGAGAATTAGGCTTGAGATGGATTAATGATTGTACATTGAGCATTGACCTCCCTATACTGAATTTTATTGTTGTTAACAACCATTTGATCAATAAATATGAGATGCCCTCTCAAAAAAAGAGGGAAATTTTATATTATGTATGTTTTACCACATTGAAAATAAATTTTTAATTTTTAATTAAAAAAAAATATTGTAACAACTTTGTATGGTGATAGCTGGTAGCTAGAATTATCATGTATATAAATGTTGAATCACTGTGTTGTACACCTGAAACTAATGTAATACTGTGTGTCAACTACCCTTCAATAAAAAATAATTTAAAAAAAAAATGGGGGGACCTGAAAAGACATTTTTCCAAAGATATACAAATGACTAACAGGTACATGAAAAGATGCTCAATATTGCTAGTCATTAGGGAAATGCAAATCAAACCCAGAATGGGTTACTACCTCACACCTGTTAGAACAGTCATCATCAAAAAGAGAAATGCTGGTGAGAAAGTGAAGAAAAGGGAACCTGTGTGCATTAGTGGTGGCACTGTAAACTGGTACAGCTAGTATGGAAAACAATATGGAAGATAATCAAAAAATTAAAAACATCATAGAACTACCACACGATCAAGCAATTTCATATCTGGAAATACAGCAAAATGAAGCAAAACACTACCTCAAAAAAGACATCTGCACCCCTTGTTCACAGCAGCCATATTTAGAATACCTAAGACATGGAGACAACCTAAGTGTACATCAACAGATGAAGTTATTTATAGATATACATATATATGTAATAAATGTATAAAAAATATGTAATATATTATATAGTATATATAATACACACACACACACAACAGAATATAATTCAGCCATTAAAAAACAAGGATATGCTGTCTTCTACAACTTTGGACTCTGAGGGCATTATGCTAAGTGAAATAAAGTCAGAAGACATATACCGTATGAATCTCACTTATACATGGAGTCTAAAACAAAACCAAACAGAATGCCAAACTCACAGAAAGAGTTCAGATTTGCAAATATAGGGATGTGATCTAGAGAAAGGTGGTCAAAAGATGCAAACTTCCTGTTATAAGTGCTAATGATGTAATGTACATGACAACTATAGTCTAACATTGCCATATGATATATATTAAAGTTGTTGAGAGTACATACTGAGTTCTTATCACAAGGAGAAAAATTTTATTTATGAGATGATGAATGTAATAATCATTTAAAAATATATGTAAGTCAAACCATGCTGTACACCTTAAAATTATAGTGATATCAATTTTATCTAAAACTGGGGTGGGGGGAAATCTTGCCAGTTATTAAGAATTCTAGATTGGAGACTGTTGAGAATTAGGCTTGGGGTTGATTAATGATTGTGCATTGAGTCCCCTATACAGAACTTTATTGTTGTTAAGAACCATTTGATCAATAAATATGAGAGATGCCCTCTCAAAAAAAAAAAAAGAATTCTAGTAGATAAATCAAGTCCAGGTAAGGCCCCTCTCTCTCTATTCTTCAAAACACCATCTCACTCAGCAACTACTTGACTACAACAGAGAATGTGAGAAAAGTCCACATTGAAGAAGAAAAGAGAACATCACAGGTGTACACGGGGTGGGGAGGGAAGGAGACTCAGGTCCATGGTTATTTGATGACTCCTAAAGGAAAATGGAAGGCTTTATTAACTGTACTGATCTAAGTCCCAAATACTAAGAGCTCAGGTTTGGCTCAATAAGCACCCACAATGTGCTTGGCTGGGAGCTGGGTACATCAGGTGTATGCTCGCATTTTACTCTCACATTAACCCTGCTTATCTCCATGTATCAGACAAGAAGCCAACTGGCCCGCCCAAGGTCATGGATCTAATCAGAGGTATCGGCTTGAATGAACTCAGGCCTTGTAATACATTCAAGTCTAGACTTTTTTACAAGTTCACATTCCAGTCTTAGTGTTTCAGAATCTTAAGGGGGACATGCCTAGGAATCTGTATTTTCATTGAGACGCCTAAGGAACCTTTTCATGATTAGGGAGACTTGAGAAAAAAATAACCATGCAAACATTTGTACTCCCAAAAGACATAGGGTCACTTTGACTTCCTGAAATATGTTGGGATTCTTGGGAATCAAGATGCTGTTTCAAGTTTGGACAGCATGTTTAGGGACTTCTGTGCAGCTTGTATTACATCTCTCCCTTTGTCATCTACAGACCAGGGAACGAAGGCTTTTAAATGGCTTGCCAAAATCCACTGAACCGTGATTACTTGGCCAAGCCAGATCAGATGTTGCCTGATTCTAGTTTTTTCTTTCTACTATAAACACATTTTGGCTGACTGTTTCCTTCACACGCGTAAGCTCTCTTCCCTATAAAATGTCAAGTCCAGCTGAGCAAGGCCCTATGAATTTCACTGTGCTTATTAATTAAGCACATTGCTTGGAGTTATCAGCTCATGATTTGCTGACATTTACCAGATAAACTTTTGTAGTCTGCACCCATATTTCTGTGACAATCCCACTGAGTTTATATCATTTTTACCAGGGCTTTGGGTTATAGAAGAACGGAAGAAAATCTTGTAACCCACTGGAAGACAATTCAACATGAAATCCACCCTTGCCTGGCTTACCAGTAGCTCTCTGGTGGGATAATAATCAAGATGATCACACATTCCCAGCTGTGTTAGTCTAAAATTAAGATTCCATATTATATGCTATAAAATCAGAAGGGCTTCAAATGGCCTACCTCTTCCCACTCTGCTGCTCTTGTGGATAAGCGTCCCTAGCCAAACAACCTTCCTTGTCAAAGGACCAGGCAATTTCTGCTCCTCTCTGGGAGGCAGGCTTCAGTTCCCTGCCAGTCCATGGATTTAATCCAACAATCCAATCACATCCTCCCACTGGAGCCAGGAAGCACCCCACACTTTCAATACAACAAATTCTGCCTCCCAAAGACCCTCATGGTTTTCTGGGTCCATGAGTGCAACCTCCCACGCAGCACCACGTGGCACACAGTGTCCTTGAATGGCATGTGGTGTCCTCCTCCCCCGGGCTGCCATCATGTGACTAATAAACTGCAGTCTTATCACCCAAAGAAAAGGTGTCAATTCCTGATTCTATAAAGAAATAAACCTTTCCCTTTTCACAAAACCGCCTACTACTGTAGGAAAACGTTTCAGTAAAGAGGTGAGGAACAAGGAGCGAAGCAGCTGCTTGAACATCTCTGACTTTCTCAAGACTACTGCATGTAAACATCACACCATCTGACAGACTAATTGGAATGGGTTAGGTGGGGGCCTCAGGAAAAATGGGCCCTGGAATTATGCTGTGCAAATGTAATTCAAAAGTACTGTCTACTGTGTGAATACATGAGCTAAGTGAGAGAGAAAAGTGATATTTAGGGATTCAATTCCTGGCAAACCTGGGTCTCTACTGACTAATCTAAAACAAGTCATGATTAAAAAAGATACAGTCCCAAGGGATAGCATCAGGAAGCACTCTCCTCCCCGAACTGGCGTGTGGACTGTTCTGTCAAAGACTGTGTCTTATCGCCCCCATTCCTGATTCTAACCCAGAGAATCTGCTCAGTGGAAATGGCTGGGCAAACACACAGAACACTTCACTTTGCAAAGTACCAAGAAAGCAGTGAGCTCAGGTCTCTCCTGGTTCAGTGAAGCTGAGAAACTGCCTGCAAGATTAAGGATTCCGACACAGCTGGGGAGGAGGAGGGCTGAATTCTCAGGCGTGGGCTGGAATATTTCTGGCACTGGGTCACTTCCAGCTGACAGGCTATTATCAGTGCTGCCCCCTCACACCCAAGGGCCCTCTGGAGCCCACCTAAGATGTTCTCAGTAGACGGGCGCACTCTGGTTACCCACATGCCTTTCAATGAAGACCACGTATATTGATTCTGCTCTTAAGGGCAGGTTAGTATCTGGCTTCTTCTGTACTTACTGATCCTTCCCAGTAGTCATATGGCAAACAATCATTACAGGAGCTGTAGAAGTGAAAGAAGCATCTGATAAGAGACTACCCACCTGGAATTCATGCCAAATCCTTCATTTGAAAACATCGAACTAGAAGGAAGCTAAAACAGGAGGAGAAATTAGCCACTCTTTCTCAATATCCAATGGGAGGAGGTGTGGATGACCACATGGTTATTATTAGGCCCAAGTTTCATCTGCATAGCAGAAAGGATTAAAGAAAAGCAAAACCACTAGTCGCAGAGCTGGGAGTGTGGGGACACAGTGCCAGAACTCCAAAGAGGCATCTGGAAGGAAGGAAGCTCAGTTCTTACTGCTCCAACTCAGGCTCAAATCTCCTGCCTAAATTCTCATCAACAGGAAAGACACATGGACACCCACCACCTTAAAAACTACGTTTGTATTTCTGGTTAGGTTCAGAGTGGCAGAACTCAGGAGTTACACCATAACCAACCTGGTCCACACCTCAGCTTACCTTCCTCCCTCCCACAAAGATAACATTACAAAACTATATTTACAGGAAAACCAATTAAAAATTAAGGGTGTATACAAAAGTGGACAAGAGAGTCGGAAGTATCAATGCAGGGAGAGCTTTGGGGGATTAAGGGACATTGTATTCCACACTGAAATTATGTACCAGCAGGGAGAAGCATAGTGAATCTCAGTGCCAATCTTAGGGGAAACCAGTCATTCCAGGGGAAAAGTAGATGAGAAAGAGCTACTTATTAGCTTTAATATTGCAAGTCTTAATTATCCAGCCCTCCTTCTTCTGTTCAGAGTCAAGTGGTGGGGAAAAAAACAGTCTCTGACAAGTGCCATAGAAAAGGGCGGGTGGGCTCAGAAGGCATAGCGGGTCCGGATGTCCTCAAGCTTCTTGGACACCTCAGGCGGGGTTCGGTCTAGTTCTTCAGAGACATTCTTTTGCTTGTTGGGCTCCATGGAGTTGAACTGCTCACAGAGGTCTCCATCAATCACGTTCTAAGACATGGAAAAATGAGAGTGAAGAAAAAGGTTAGATGGCCACAGAAAATGACACATGCTCAAGGACCAGCTGTAAAGCAAACTTTTTATTTTCTCTCTTGACACCTGAGCCCAAGTTACAGAATAAGGAACATTATTCTAAGTTGATCCTTAGCAGTCAAGGTTAGCAAAACTAGGTGAAACCTTTTTCTCTGGCTGTGTTCTGCCTTGAATATCACTAACCATTCCTTTTCCCTAGTACCATCACCATCAATCCATTCCCTTGATGCTCCTTCATTCAGGACTGTTCTGATTTTTAAAGGAGAGAAGCAGAGAGAAAAGACTAGTTAAATGAACTGAGATGCCTCCCTTTCTATCCAGAGTTCCACCAAAAACCTACCTTAACAGGGAAGTAATAGGAACGAAAGCTGAGGTGGTCTCGCCCACAGAGAGGGGGATGCTCAGAACGCAGGTGCATTTCCACATGCTGAAAGAAGTCATGGTCCTGGTGGAGGAAACAAAGACTCTCACTAAAAGAAGAAAATGATTTCAACTGCTAGTCTGTGGTCTCCAGAAGTAGAATGAACACACAGCCACTGACTTTTACCATGCAAACAGATATTAAGTATCTAATCACTCCTCTGATGAACTCGTTTTCTTGCTGTGACTAGAGCTAAAACCCAAAACGCCCCTGTATTTGCAGAACGTGGGAGAACATCACATGTAAGGAGGGTTTTGTGAAGTCGTATTCCTGATTCTAGCTTCCTTGGCTGGTACGGCACACCAAATTAAGCCAATTCCAGAGTTGACTCTTGAGGCAGTAAGTGCCCAGTTGACATCATCCTATCATTCCTAAGCTGTGGGGTCTGGTCTGGGGCTCTGGCCTCTTATCTACACCTATCCCCATCAGAGAACCAAACATGTACAGTATAAAAACAAATAACTTCTCCAGGAAACAAACAAACAAAACCAAGATTCTTATATCCCCAGGGACTTCTCATACAATTTCCAGAACACTCCCAGTTGCAGGTGGGGATAAAAGAGTTGCCCTCTTAAGGCAGATTTAGCACCAAGAAACCACCTTGGGAAGGCAAAGGCCATAGCCCTGTTGGGAGACTTCACCTCATGGGATGTGAATGGGACAAGGATGCCAATTCCTCCTGACAAGGTAGTATAAACAAGTGATTCGGAGCCTCCAGGGATCAGGGTGGTCTTCTGTAATGACAGCACTGTCTCACCCACATGGTAGTTCATGATCACCTCTGCCTGCAAATCAAAAACAGACCAGTAGCTGTGTATGCCCTCAGGAGTCTGTTCTAGATTCTCAAGAGCAAGCAGTGCCTCTAAAAGGTAGACATCTCCATCTTTAAAAATCTAAAAATTACTAAAAAAAAATACTCAAGTATTAACATTTACTTGGAGATTAATGTTCTCACACACATGAAGTTAGATTACTTCTGATAAACAATTACAATTCAAAAATCGTTAAATTACCAAGTCTGCAATTAAAAAAAGGAAATTATAGAAAACTATTAAAGAACAACAATCACAAGATCACTAGGCTTGGTAGATCTTATTTTTAGAAGTCTAGAGATGCTCTACTATAAAAATACATGCCTACAGGAGAAGAGTAGAACTCAGGACACGCTCAGGGAAGAGCTGGTTACTATCAGGAATGTACCAGTGCAACCATCTTTTTTCCAAGGAACACTATACTCCCGAGAGATTTTACATTGCTAAAATGTCTCAGAGACATTTCTACTCTGCAGTCTTAAAAATGGAATAGTGACTTGGTCACCTTATATGAAACCCAGCATCTAACCATCAAAGGCTATGTATGTACAATCAAACTTAGGGATTTCCATATATGAGAGAACACTCACCATTGCCAGGTGCACTGCGGATAATTCACTAAAAAATGCTTCCTCAGTAAAGATCATGGGGAATGTACCATATAGGCTAGTGTCTCTCCTTTGGGGCCCTTGCGTTCTTACCTTCTGAGAGGCCCCATTGAGCAAGCCCCGGTCCCACAGTGCTTTGTTTCCTGTGGGATCCTCATCCACTTCATCGTTGGTGTTAGGTGGGAGCCTCACCTAAAAAGAAGTGACACACATCACAGAGCTAGGTCCTATACCTACTCACCTGGATCACCAAGCAACCCCAGGTTCTTGCAAGCAAGCCTAGGGGCACCACCTCTGGCAGATGCCTAAGCCCATCTCCTGTTCTAGTGTCTGAGAAGTGAGACACTCAAGAGGATCAACCCATGAGCATAGGGCTAACACAGAAAGAGCACAAAGACCACAGAACATAAATCAGACTGGACTTAAAAAGATAAGCCAAAATTGTGATAAAAAGTGAAAATAAATTCAGTCATTAGCTCAGACTAAACCTACCACTATTAAGAAGGAGAGAGGTGAATAGAGGGGGAAGTTTAAAAGACTGGTAAGAAAGCTTAAAGAACACAGTTTTCTTTTTAGACCTGGCCTTAGAATTTTTAAGTTTTCCTTCTTCATTTCCTGATACCCATTTTGCTCTGACTTTACAATATGTTTGCAACTTAAAATTAATAAAAATCTTCATCACATTAAAAAAACAAAAACAAAAAAACTGGCCTTTGGGGGTTCAAATTTTATCCCCATTTTTACTATCCATTTTAAAGATCACAGTCCTGGGTCTTTGGCTTTACTATGAACAAACTGAGCCAGCTTTCCCACAAGTACTATAACCAACTAAACATCAACTCACCACACAAATGTTGCCAAACTTGTCTGCCCCAGCCACAGTGTCATAGTCGAGGAGGCTAGCTGTAGTGACCCATCGTGGATAGGTGTCATCAGCGAAGATGATGAGCTGGTTCTCATTACGCTTGTAGCGAACCCAGATGAAACTTTCTTGGACATCAGACACAATTACCCTGTGTCCAATAGTCTGGATTCCAGAGATATAGTTGGCAATATGCTGGGAAAAACAAGCAAAGTAATAGGTATAACCATGGGGTCCAGATCCCCAGAAAGTCCGGCTTTCCTTCAATGCAATATAAAGGGTCTGTGGAATGGGACATATCAAGGAACAGGCAGTCAGCAATCACTTCCTATAAAGTGGAAAAAAGAGCTAAATGGTTTTAATATAGTGAGAATACATGCCTAATTCTCACAATTAACTTCCATTAAGAAGCTAGCAGGACAGAAACTTGGTTCTTAGTTTGAAGAAGTTCAGAAAACCATCTAACTCCTGCCCTTCTCAAATCTCATTTCTGAGCCTGGAATTGGGGAACTACAAGGCCTATTATTAATAAAGACACACGGTTTTAAGAGTGAATACCCACCACCCTGTGAAGGTTTCCTCCCTCTTTGCTAGCTAGATCCCAGGCCCTCTACAAGGATATTCACCTTGTTCTCACACTTTCGGAGTAACTTCTTCTTTCCCAGGTCATAGACTCGCAGAAGCTTCCCCACACCAATCAACACCCTTCCCTGGAATGGGGCAATGGCAGCAGGGACCTCTTCTACCAGAGTCTGTAAGAAAAGCGGGTAATGCTATTACAACAGCCAGCCACAGGCTAGCCCCTCTCCGTCAACCCAAAATGCCTGTCAAGACAACAGCCAGCAAGTGATCACCCTCTGACATCAGAAAAATAAACCACACATACAACAGACTCTACAACACACAGTGTTTAAGTAAACAGGTCCCACACGCTGCATTTCACCCCGCTAGTGAAAAGAAATGCTGGTGCTAGGTGAATGCTGCCTCAGAGCCCACACTAATCCAACCACACCATTAATGAGGAGTGAAGCCATGGAGAAATGACTGCAGTTTGTGCAGGATGGGAAAGGAATACTAGCAACAAGTGACATCTTAGTTGCAAGAGAGACAGTGAGCACAGCACAAAGAAGGGTCTGTGAAGTAATTATTTCCCAGAGGAGACTCCCTTGTAGGAGGGATGGAGGAGCCACATTCATGTGCTATCAGTGGGGAAGAGAGAACAGGAATTTGTTTTAACTTTAAAAACCATGGTAAAATAAACCTAACATAAAATGTACCATTTTAACCATCTTCATGTTTACACTTCAGTGACATTAAGTATATTAACATTGTTGTACAATCATTAGCACCATCCATCCCTAGAAATCTTTTCTTTCCACAGGAAAACTCTGTAATCATTAGAGAGTTAACTCCCAGAAAATAATTCTGTACAATTGCTAAATTTTGGTCACCATTCCTACCTACTTAGTGAGACTAGTAGTAAACAACAGGCCAATTCAGTGTGCATATATTTCCCCACTGTGAATGGTTTACACACAGGCTTCCCGTGGAATTTGCAGGCAGTGGAGCTTCACTGGAACATGAAAGCCCCAGCATTTTCTGTGTGCACCAAGAGGTGGATCACAATCCATGTGCTGGCTCCCAAAATGGTCACCAGAAGGCCAGACCTACAAGTTAAAGCAAAGAAGGGAGTCTAGCAGGACCTAAGATCTAGAAAGAACCTAAGATTGGCTGGCTCCTACCTTGTGCAGAAACTCCAGTTTTTCCCCATTGTTCACAAGCTTGTAGGTATAGACAAAGCCCCCTGCTACAGATCGGGGGTTCAGTATCAGGTCTTTGGCCACGCCCACCAGCACATACCAGTCCTCACCGGTGTTGGAGAACCTGCACACGGCCACGCTGCACAAAGAAGCAGGAGTCGGGCATGAGTTACAGCCAGGGGAATTCCCATTCCAGCCACCAAGCCCTGGATGTCCTGGGCTTCTTACCTAAAAGCAGCCTCATTCTGTTCCAGCTGTACAAGGTCCAGCGTGTTCCCCTGTATAGGATTCATCACTCGGATCACAGAGGCCCACTGCCCATTGCCAGCCTTAGGAGCTCCAAAAATGGACTCGGGGAGGTTTTCATTGAGGAATGCTGCTGCCATCTCTGCGGCCAGCTCTCGCTCATCCTCCCCTGCTGCTTCCACCATTTCCTAAATCCAAAAAACCAAAGAGTAGGTGTGTTCAGAGGTAGGTGCTGGATGAGAAGTGAACAAGTGGCAAAAAAGCCTCCAGAGGAAGTTCATAATTAAGTAAAGTAGCAAGTCTGTCGATGAAAACCAGGATTTCCCAAAATGGAGATTAAAGGGAGAGGTATACAGACAAGAGAAAAAATGGAAAATCACTAAAGGGGAAACTAGGTTCTTCTTTAATGCCTAGAAGAACTAACATCAGCTGTGATAAATACTTGATTAGTAGTCTGAGAAACATGAAAACGAAAACACCATTTTTCTACCTAACCCATCTGATTTCCCTTGCTAAGACATCTTGTCTCCTCTCTTCCAGGTCAAATACAATTTTACATGGTTGGAACTATTTGTTTCTTGCTAGGAAATGATTTCTGGAAGAAGCTCACATTGCAGGGAATATGAAAGCTGTCTGTCTCCTGTGGGCCTGAGTCCAGCATACATAAAACACTGTTTTGGGAGCTCAAGGACTGAAGAACTGTTCCAGAGGGGGAGCTGAAAACTGAATAAACCCAGGTCAGTGTATTAGTCTTAAATCATCAGAAAGCCTCTAAAACCAAGAGCTCTGGCAAAGGGCTTTGCTTGAAGGAACCTGAAAAGACCCTGAATCTTTATACATAACCAAGAATATGTAAGCATAACAAAGAAAACAATGTAGGAGTTTAAACTTTTCAACACTTTTCCATGCGAACAACTTTTAATTGAACCCCAGAGGTATGTCTCATTACCTCTGCCATCTGCTGCTTCCTCTGAGCTTTTGTTGCCTCAGTGTAGGCATTGTGGTCAGTCTCAATGATGATAAGGTTGTTACTCTCAGGGTGGATGACAAATTTCCTGGGTGTGTACTGCAGTGGAAAGGCTACTTGGTTGAAGACAGCACCTAGCTTCTCCAATGCTAAAATCCTATGACAAAAGGCAAGGGAGTTAATAAAAATATCACTCACTCAGTACCTAGAAACTGGTACTGAAATGGTCCATGAGTGGTCACAGTAAACACATCAATCCCTAAAGCTCTATTTTGGCATTATGGAACACGAAACAATAGCCTTCTGATTATAATCTACAAGATTCTGCACAGGAGACAAGGAGATTTGGGAAGAGCCCTCCACTTCGGTGACAGCCCTCCCATGTTCATGACAATTCTGGTGATAAGTTAAAATTTCCTCACTTACTGCTGACAAACCCTGAAATGGAGCACAATTCCAAATCTGTTTGTGCAGCACTGCAGTTACCTGGACATATGCAGTACTGGTGCTGACAGTACTGCATAAAATGAAGCAGATGCCTTCCTGAAGAAAAATCACCTAAGCTTTATTAGGAAATCCATGGCAGCACAGGAAGAGATGGCAAGGGAGGGACCTACAACCTTTGCCAAATGGGACATAAGAGATGTGCCTAAGCAAAACCATGTGCAAAATGAGCAGAACCCAGGCACTCTTAAAAATAATTACTTGATCTCTAAACAACAGTTTTATTTGCAGTTTAAGTTCTCTCTATTCATCATATACAGTCTGACAGCAAAACTAAAAAACAATGGAAGACAGCAAAACCATTTTAGGGGCTGAAAGAAAAAACAGCCAATTTGAATACATGTATGTATGAATTTTTTGGAAGAATATAATACAGAACACAACACTTTATGATAAAGTATGACTAATAAGTAGCATTCTCATAGATATCCAAATATCCTGAGGAAGTAAACAGCATGTCCCTCCATTTGGAGAAAAACAGTAAGTATTTTGTAAACATATGAGTAATGAAATTAACCACTGAGACATCAAAAGTGCCATTCAGCATGATAAAAACAAGTATGGCATAAACAAACCCCACAACCACCGATCCTACAGTTTTATTTCTTCTTTGTCCAGCTCTCACACTGGCTTTCATAAAGGCGCCCAACCATGCCAACAGGCAGATTTCAGCAGCTTGTGGAGAATAGGTACCCACAAGGGCATCTAGGTGGAGGGAGCACTTACCCTCAGTGGGACGCACAACATGGGAGGGAGCACAGATGCTCCTACTTCCTATTCTTCCTTGAAAAATATGAGGCTAGCCAGTGCTTGTCAATGTAGGACATATACTACTGGTGATACCCAAGATGACTTCAGGCAGGCAGCCTTTCAAAAATGTAATTCTTTAAGAAATAATTAGCTAAAGGACATCATAAAGAAAGTGGACAACCCCACCTATTGGGAGACAATATCTGTAAATCTTACTATCTGATAAGGGAGCTGGAGTTGGAACTATAAAGAAGCCCTACAATTCAACAATAAAAATTAAAAATTAAACAAAGGATCTGAACAGACACTGCTCCAAAGAACAATTAGCCAATAAGCTAAGCACGTGAAAAAATAATCGACATCATTAACCATCAAAGAAATGAAAATCTAATCATATTACCACCTCACACTAGGATAGCTACAATAAAAAAATCCAGTAACAAGCATCACTTGAGGATGTGGAGAAACCGGAACCATCATACTTTGCTGATAAGAATGCAAAATGGTGCAGCTATTTTGAAAGGAGGCTGGCAGCTCCTCAAAAAATTAAAACATAGTTACCATATGACCCAACAATTTGACTTGTGCAGGTATATGTCAAAGAAAAATTAAAATAAATGCCCACAGAAAAACTTCTACATGACTGTTCATAGAAGTGCTATTCATAATAGCAAAAAGTGGAAGTGACTGGTACTAACAGTAAGTACTATCAACAGTAGTGTTTAAACCATGCTCCCCAAAGGTCTGCTTTTATCTGTTTCACACAGTGGCCTTGCTCTGAAAAGACTGTTCAAGGTGAGCTGGGAGAAACGTTCTGCTGCCAGAAGTTTGGAAATCTGTGGGACTGTCTAAATTTATAGGAATTTAGGAGCTAGGAAGTACAAGTAGATAGAACAATTAGAGGGCCCATGCATGAAGGTTAGGCTTTATAGACAGGGATGTGTGTGGGAAGCATTCCAGGGACAGCTGGAGAGATACTAAAAAAAAAACCCCCACTATGAAGGGATGTCTGGAGGCATTCAATGAGCGCAACTCTGCTGGAACAGAAGGTATGTAAAGGTGCTGAAGGTTAGAAAGAAAGAAAATGATTGTGAAAAAATCCTGAAAGCTATTGTCAAGAAATTAGGGGGGCCATAATTCCACTGTGAAGAGCCAACATTTATAGCCAGGATAACAAGGTGGAATCAAAACATTAAAGAACTGAGTATATTAAAACTTGGCCCTTAAATTCTAGACAGAAGCTAAAACCCCAAACACTGAAACTTGGTTACCAGGTACTTATTAAATCTCCCAAGCCAAATCAAGGTTTCAGTTGCAATTAAACAAGATGGAGTGAGAAGTGAGGCAGAAACCTTCTCCCAAAACCAAATGTAACACAAAGATACAGCAAATACAACTAACCGTGAATGAGTGACCCAAAAGACCACTACAACAGACTCTCTACATCTGGGGAAAAGAGAAGACCTCACAGCAAAGGGTAAAGTAGCAAAGCCCTGATCCAGTGGGACCCAAGCCCTTCCCCCACCCCAGCTCACAGGCAGAAGAGAAACAGAGCAGGGAGGGAGTAGAAGCCCAGGACTGATAAACACCCACCCCTGGAGATCTGCTCCGAGAGCATGAATCCACATTACATGGTGCTGTGGAGATTAGAGGGGTTGGAAAGCAAAGACAGGAAGAATACTTGGAGAGACTGAGATTCCAGCAGCTTGTGGAGAATAGGTACCCACAACCAGTCGCTCCAGGACAACAGAAAGGCTGGCACTTTGAAAGACTTCCCAACAGCAAGAGGGCTACTAAAGGGGCAAGGATTACACAGAGCTTGCTGCTCAGGAGGAAGGACAGGTGGACAAAATTGTCCCAGTGCATTCAGCCCAGTCAGTTGGGAACTTTTAGGAGCTTCAGGCACTCCATCCCCCTGGCTGGTGATGCACGCCGAGGCCCCCCACTGTGATACATGACCTGCCGCTCCTTCCTCCCAGCCAGCACCAGTTCATAAACCTGCTTCCCCCACCATAGTGCCAGACCAGCCAGAGGGCAGCCCCACCTACAGTAGCTACAAGGTCATCTTGCAGAGGCTTCTCTCTGTGTGCTCTGCCTACTGGCCATGGCAGTGGAGGCAGGCACTGCAGCCGGGAAGCAAAAAAGAGCTCTTTACTCCCAGCAGGCACTGGCACCATGTGCCTGCAACCCCCACCATCGCTCTAGGTGCTGGGCAGCTCCAGACAGTAGAGCTTCTGAGGACTAGAGGATGCCGCCTACACAAAATCATTATTCCATAGTAATCATCAGAAATATGAAATGACAAAAGAATCTGGTACAAACCAAAATCCCTCAAACACCAGAATAGAAAGCTTAGTGAAACTGAAATCACCAATCTTCCTGATAAACATTTCAAAATAAAAATCATAAACATGCTCACAGAGCTACAGAAAAATATTCAAGATCTCAGGGATGATTTCAAGATACAGAAATTTTGAAAAATACAGTATCTGAAATGAAACATACAATGGAGGGATTTAAAAGCAGATTAGATGAGGTAGAGGAGATGGTAAATGAAGGAATACAAAGAAGCTGAAGCAGAGAGAGAAAAAAGGATCTCTAGGAATGAAAGAATATTAACAGAACTGTGTGACCAATCCAAACAGAACAATATTTGGATTATAGGGGTACCAGAAGAAGAAGAGGAAGAAAAAGGGATAGAAAGTGTCTCTGAGGAAATAATTGTTGAAAACTTTCCCAATCTGGGGAAGGAAATAGTTTTTCAGGCCATGGAGATGCACAGATCTCCCAACAGAAGGGACCCAAGGAGGACAACACCAAGATATATAATAATTAAAATGACAAAGATCAAGGACAAGGACAGAGTATTAAAAGCAGTCAGAGAGAGAAAAAAGGATCACCTACAAAGGAAAACCCATCAGGCTATCATCAGACTTCGCAGCAGAAACCTTACAGGCCAGAAGGGAGCAGCATGATATATTCAATGAAATGAAACAGAAGGGCCTCGAACCAAGAATATGCTAGCCGGCAAGATTTTCATTTAAATTTGAAGCGGATATTAAACAATTTCCAGGTAAGCAAAAGTTGAAGGAATTTACCTCCCACAAACCGTCTCTACAGGGTATTTTGGAGGGACTGCTCTAGATGGAAGTGCTCCTAAGGCTAAATAGCTGTCACCAGAGAAAATAAAACCACAGTAAAGGAAGTAGACCAATTAATTACTAAGCAAATGCAAAATTCAATCAACTACCCACAAAGTCAGTCAAGGGATACACAAAGAGCACAGAATATGACACCTAATATATACAGAGTGGAGGAGGAAGAAAAAAGGGAGAAAAAAAAAAAAAACCTTCAGATCGTGTTTGAAATAGTGTAATAAGCAATTTAAGTTAAACTGTTAGATAGTAAAGAAGCTGCCCTTGAACTTTTGGTAACCACAAGTCTAAAGCCTGCAATGGCAATAAGTATGTATCTATCAATAATCACCCTAAATGTAAATGGACTGAATACAACAATCAAAAGATAGTTACAGAATGGATGAAAAAATGAGACCCATCTATATGCTGCCTACAAGAGATTCACCTCAAACCCAAAGACAAACACAGACTAGAAGTTAAAGGGATGGAAAAAAGATATTTCATGCAAATAATAGGGAGAAAAAAGCAGGAGTTGCAGTACTTGTATCAAACAAAACAGACTTCAAAACAAAGCAAGTGACAGGAGACAAAGAAGGGTATTACATAATGATAAAGGGGTCAGTCCAACAAGAGAATATAACAATTATAAATATATATGCACCTAACACAGGAGCACCTAAATATGTGAAACAAATACTAAGAGAATTAAAGGGGGAAATAGAATGCAACACATTCATTTTAGGACACTTCAACATACCCCTCACTCAAAGGACAGATCAACCAGACAGAAAATAAGGAGACAAAGGTTTCTGTTGCAACACACTAGTCCCACGGTGATGAGTCAGGCTGTCTGCCATCTCTTCCTAACTTCTTCCAACATTCTGGAAAAACCAGTCCCAGTCCGTGACAGAAAAGCTTCCCACTGGGCTTCTACTCTGGAACTCTCTCACCTCAGGGTATTGGTGGAGATGGCCACAATGCCCTCAGGACACTGTTCAGACGCAAAGCCAGATGCAAATTCCAGGGTCTCATAAGACAGGGGGGTAAGATGGAAACGAGATTGGTAAGAATAGCTCAACCATGAGCGGCTTGACATGGCCAACACCTGAGAAAAGAAAAACAAAAAACACCCCAATTAGCTTGGGGAAAACTCAAACGTAGTATGCTGACCAAATACCCTATCCCCAAATTTCAGTCTGCAAAATATCCCAAGGGAATTTTAGGAACGTAAAAGGCTCCCTTATGAAAAAGGCCTGAATACAGCATGGAAAAGACAATTAATGACTCTATATAGCATCTTACTACACTGACAGTGACCGCAACAGAGGGGGTGAGGACTTGACATATGGGTGACTGTTGAAACCACTGTTTCTTTATGTGAAACCATCAGAAGATTTTGTATCAATGATACTTTAATAAAAAAAAAAGAAAGAAGAAAAAGAGGCCTACAGAAGAGGCAGTATGGCTTAGTATTTGCTGTAAACATGGGCTACTACTACTAGCCATATGAACTAGACTAATCATGCAATCTAAGTCTCAGTTTCCACATGTGTAAAATGGGGACACAATCATAAAGCTAAATAGTTTTAAGAATTAAATGCAGTAACAAGTAAAGAACTAGCAGAACACCCAACAACACTATTAATCTCAGCTACAAAGGACACAATGCTTCCAAACCTCTCTCGCATTACACAGTGAACCATGATATTATATTATAAGGTTGCTCAGGAGTAGTGGTGCCCTGGTGGGAGGTTTCCAGTTAATTTTCAGTCCATTACATTTGCCCAGCCTGAGGGCTAAAGGACCAATATCCTAACCCACCTACAAACCAAATCATGCCACAGTGCCATGGAGCCCCAGGTAAAAAGCTCTGGCTTAAGGGACCCAAGACTTCCCACAGGAAAGAAACTAGTCAAGATGGACCTAATGTCAAACTAACTATACACTGGTGAATTAATGAAAACAAAGCCTACACCAAGGCATACCCCTCAGCTGATGCCGCTAACAGCCCAACATGCTGCCTACCCCCCTCCATTACTTACTGCCTCCTGGCCTTGCATCCTGACACGAAAGAGTTTCACAGGACGGGACCCAAGATACCTAGTGCGGGTATCAGACAGATCTCCTGTGACAGGGTCTAGGACAGTTCTCAGCAGGACACCGTTCTAATAAAAAAAGAGAAGAGCAGGTGAAGCCTACCCATGACAGAAGCTCCCTTGGCAACTTATTTTATATAATAAATTCAGAGCAGATAGAATATGACTTGGTTCAAAAAAGTCAAGTAATCAGCCAGCCATTCAATCCTTCTCTCACTAAATCACTCTCATTCAAGTAGTTAATTTACTAAGTGAAAAACATTTATTTTACACAGCATATCCTTAAAATTTTTCCCAATTTACTTAAACTCCTCTTTATAATTTTTAATTTGAAGATGTGTGTACAGTTAATAATAACCAGAATCTGCAAGTTCATAATGTTATTTTTTAAAAAAAACCACTTCACTGGTCCTCACTGATGACTGCTAACATACCAACACCTTACTTTGAAAAGAGAAGTGAATGAAGGGGAAAAAATTTTTCCTTTTTCTGTACAAACTGTATTTCAGTCTAGGCAAAGATATGAAGCAAACTTTGTCTTTAGAAAAAAGTTCCACCTAATTAAATGAAGAGTGAAACAGAAAATCATCATTTCCCAAACCTAATGACATAATACAGGCAATGTACCTATAAATGGCTATTATTAAGTAAAAGGATGATGGTGAGATTTAAAACAGATAATTTAGAAGTGGGACAACCAGACATTAATATGCCTCCTATTGTAATAGGAAATAAATAGCACCACCTATGAAATTTTCTCTCCCAATAACAAAAAATTAAACCTGAATCTAATCAATTTCTGTGTTATCCACTACTATAGTTATCAAGCCACATGTGGCTAGAAAAAAATTTTGATTTGCTGTTAAGTGTTTAATACAAAATACCAGATTTCAAAGACTTAATCTAAAATAAGAGAAAGCATGAAGTAATATCTTAATTTTTATATTCATCACAAATTGAAATTATATTTTAGATACTCAGTTAAATGAAACATTGAAACTAACTTTATCTGTCCCTTTTTCACAGCTACCAGAAAATTTAAACTACACACATGGTTTACAGTGTATTTTTAATGGCTGGTATGATGTAGAGCTATGTACTAGTTTACAGGAAATACAGAGGATAGAGGAACATTAAACAGCTAAGAGATGACTGCCAAATTCAGAAGGTGGGAAATTCTACAAGATGGATGATCTGGTTTCTTAAAAACAAAAACAAGAAAAACTGGAACACAAACAAGGTATCAGATATTAAGGAATTAATAAGTTTTGTTGGGCATGACAATATTAAGGCCTTTAAAAGAACCCCACGTATCTGTTAGAGCTACATTTTTCACCTGTTTATAGATGAAATGATAAATTATCTTGGATTTGCTTTAAAATACTCAAGGAAAAAGAAGAGAGAGGTAATACATAAAACATTACCAGAATGTTGGTAACTTAACTGGTGATGGATACACATGAAGGTTCATTACATTAGTCTATCTTCTGTGCGTATTTGAGAATGTCTAAATTAGGAAGTGAAATTAAAAGCAGAATGTACCTGGGCTAGGTACTATTTTACATGTTTGAGTATATATTCACTAAGGAAAATAAGTATACGGTCAAAAACCCTGACATCATCCGATCCTTAAGTTCCTGCTTTTTATGCCACAAAGGGCTCACCTGCTCTGACGACAGGGAACACTAGGGGGTCCTTGATTGCCAATGGAGCCCATTACAATACTGAGGCATCAGTTTCCAAAAGCTGCATATCTTGAGAACCACAGGTGACTCGACCCCATCTAGTTCTGGTTCAGAGCAGTGATCACAAAGCATTCTTATCAAAGACTCTTTAAGAAAACTTTTTCTAGGCCTAATCTGTCCTAATTAGACCTGACGGAAGTGGAACAGAGAGCAGCAGTTCACTCTTCATAAGATGGTTACCTGAAAGCACGGGCACAGAAAATGACCATACTGAACAGAGTGCATGAAAGCTAAAATAGGCTGGACACCAACAATGTAAGCTCAGTCTTACCTGTAGCCCAATGTTCAGGTATAGGAAGCCAATAGAGCCCCTCTCACCCAGTTCATCCTGCTTCTCAGTTCCACCCATTTCCACAATACACAAGGACTCCGGCTGGGCTGGGAGAGCTTGCATGCTCAGAGGTTGCAAACAGTCCTAAGGGGGAAAAAGAAAATAATAAAATATGGGGGGAAAAAACCTACCCAGAGAAATCTAAAGGACTGAAGAAACTTTTTTGTGGACAGGGAAAAACCTGACAAGGGAATTCTAAATGGGTAGTGGCTTACTAGTTAAACTGAATCTTAGAATAAGCTCTAGAGAATCACGCTTTCCTCTTTCTGTGTAAGTGGATAATTATAAAAGTAAATAAGCAAAGGGGATCTCTTAGAAGTTATTTTAGGCCCTGGACCAGTCCAAGTCCTTTTCTATAGACAATTTTAGTTTTTTAGTTTTTTTTTTTTAAACTATAAAACAGGACTCAAGGCTTACGCTAAAGAAGCATTTAATAGTGTCAAATTAGCATCTTTAAAGTACTGCAGAAGACTCCTGAGGTGTGCTAAGAAAGGGGAAGCAGCAGGTGTAGATTTCAGGGTCCAGCCCAACTGATCTTGAGAAGGACATCAGGAGTGGCCTGGTACTCAGGTTCTAGCTTGACAATACTTCAAATCAAGGATGACACTCACCGAGGGATCCAGAGAGATGATTCTGACAGTGTTATCTACCAGCCCGACAGCCAGGAAGCGAGATCTCTGCTCTCCAGGGGGCACGTTGGCCAAACTCATGCACACCACATCTGCTGACATCTCCTTCCGTTCTGTGTACTCATTCAGCTGTCCTGACTACAGGAGTGAAGATAAAGATGGTCACAAACCACTCCCAACTAGCCCCCAAACCCTGGGCCTGAGGAAAAAGGGGGTGTTGTTAGGTTCCTTTTTTGATCCCTCTTAATAATCAATGAGACCAAGAATTTTTCTATTTGAAGTCCCAAGACTGAGCTGTACAGGCTAATGGCTAGCAAAATTACCAACAAGAGAATCAAGGGACCTTTGGTAAGTATGATGCACCACCAACTGTCTAAGCCAACCTAGCTCTCAGAAAATGGAAATACAGAAAACTGTTTATCTTTTCATGAGAATACTTGGAGCAAGAGAATTCAAATATGGAAGTTAAAGACAAATCTTAATCATAGGTACAACTAGACTATAGAAGTTGTCCACATCTAGAAACTTCCTGAGAGTACACTATAGAATATAACCAACATCTATATATCAAAAAGAAAACTTCTGAAATGGTTTCAGACAATAAAAGTTAAACCTACGGCAAATATTTGGTAGAAAAGCACAGTGTAAAGGGGAGAAGCACGTGTTTTACTGCTAAGATGGATTTCATAACTCCAGTTAATATTAAGAATGAATTTACCCAAATGTCACCACAATCTTTATAAAGGGCTAGACTGACTTATGGGCACTTTCCTTCTCAATCCTCAATTTTATTTCTTGTGAATATACTCTAGATACTAGGTCTACAACTCCCATCTTTACCTCCAGACCCTAACACTAAGCCCCACAGTGAATGTAAAATAACATACGGGATCCATCTCGAAATAGACCAGCTCTCCACCTGTCAGGGCAATCACCACTTGTCTCTGGTTCACTGCACATTTCACAATTGTTTTCTTTCCAGGGGTCTTCCACTCATTGACTCTCTTGTCTGCTCGTATGTGCCGAATGCCATCAGGGTACACCTGAAGTCAGTAATAGAAGGAAACCTCTTTTAACAATTTGACTCATCGCTCAGCATGACCCTCACAATTTATCAGACCTGCCTGTCACTCCTGTCACATCTGAAGCTACTGCACTTCAGGCACTGGTTGGGTCAATGACAAAAAAGAGTTAATAGGCTCTAGGCAGGTCAATGACAAAAAAGGGTTAATAGGCTCTAGGAAGGTCAAGTTAAAATTACATTCATGTTTGGCAATGTCCACTTCCAAGAGTTCAAAGCTCACTATTGTGAACACAGCAGTGTCCACCTTTACCCTACCCAACAATGAGGGCAAAGAAAGGGTAAAGTGAGCAGGTAAGCTGCTCCCTGACAACCCTTACCTGCACCAAGGCATCATCTCCTAACAAAGAGCAGGACAAGGTTGGGGTGGTCCCCAGGAACCCAGAATCAGTCACTTCTTCCACAGTCTCTCCAATGGACAACACAAGTGTGGCATTCACGAAAGACACAATGATATAGGCATCAAATTCATCTGAAAAAGAAGGAGAAGGAGTTGGTTAGCTAAGAACTCACTAGTTTCAAAGCCAAATGAGATATATTAAGTTTTCTCTTTAGAAACCTTCCAAGGCACTTCTTCAATGTGTAGACATACACTCAGTCATGTGGCAAACAGAGGATGATCCAAAAGATAACTGAGGGTCATAACAGCCTGCAGATATACTCTGCTTCCTTAAATGCCTAAATTCATTGAAGATATTCCCACTTTTAATGCCTCTGAAAACTAGTATTTTTTTTGAGACATATGCTAGAAAAACTGAGGACAAAGCAAGGGAATCAGGCATGAGAAAATTTCAAATACTGCAATATTTACTTACATTAAAGTTAGAGTTTCTTTATTATACCAGATGCCAATCACAATACATTCTTTAAAGATAAACCTTATAAACAGAAAAGGTCCCCAGCTTCTTCCAAAAGCAGCTTATATGGGGAATACAAGACTAAATGAATTTTTATTCATTACTTAAAAAAGAGATTACTTAAGCCTCCATGAGACTAAGTCATTTTATTCTAGGGTTGGAAACTGAGAATCCTAGGATATAGGTCCCAACAGGAAAGATATAAGAACACTAGACAACCAAGTGGGGAGCAGAGGTTGTTTACATGGTCACCCCTTTACCTCTAGTTTATTGTTTAAAAATGCAACTATTCAGTGGGTACGAGCAACCCTATTGGGATTTGCTTTTCATTTCATGAAATGTAGCTGTGGACAAACACACAATAATCAGTTTTCAAGGTCAGAGGATCTGAGGTACACAGAAGCCCCAAAAGTTTCTCACACAGATCCCATAGTTAAAGGCCATCGATTTGCCATGTATTTCGTCCAACACATAAAACAGCTTGTGTGTCTCCCACAACCAACACAACGTTTAGCATAAAGTTTGGCAAATGCTGAAAAGAGGTGAATTCATTTTTTTTAAAGAAGAGTTGAGACTGTCCTACTTCATATCTGAATTTCTCTATCAATTCCCCTCTCATACAGAAGTCAGGTAACACAGGGAGAGAATGACAAGTAGACAAATCTAAATCAGAGTGGCTACCTCACTCTCAGCAAAAGCAGCTATAGGACCCCACTGGCCTGAGCCCAGGTAAGAGCTCAAGGCCATAGGACTGATCCATTCCACCCACATCAGTGACACAGTGGACTTCTGACTGTGGCTCAGCTGAACTTAAGATTACTTAATTCAGCAAAATCAGTGATTTCTATAAAGGTATAGAAAAAGGGGCCAAGTGAAGATGTATCATTGGTACAGCCTATAGCAGTGTTCTGACCTAAGACCAAGACATAAAATCAACTTGGTTGACTGCAATCAGCATTTTAAAACAGAAGCATATAGAAATAAATATATTTTATAAAGTTGTTTCACACATAGTAAATCCTGTTTCGCAAAAACTTTTGCTTCAGTTAATTATGTATGTACTGACTGGGTGGCTGAAAGACAAGAATCAAGGATCTTTCCCAATGGGTGTAATTTAATGGTTACTCCAGGAATCCAGAGTTAGGGTTCAATTTCCAAACCATAAGGAGTAACACTGGACAAGCAGATAGTTGATTTTAGCATCTATCTTCAGAGACACCCTATAAAATGGCTTTGTAAAACAGCACTTGTTCACCATCATAAAATGTAAGTAAGAATATGGTTGTCCCTGAAATGGATGTCTTCACAGTTTACAACAAAACTAAAATCAATCTCCATACAACCCCAAACTTGGATGCTATACTCCAGCTCTGCTTTTGAACTGGAAATCCTGGTGTGTAAAAGTAACAGGAGCTGCTTTATTTTAACGTTATATGAATACTATGTCCTTTCCCACACCCTCATTACTGAAACCTAATACCTTAAAAGCTGTGCCAGCACAAATTAAAGCCAAACAACGAAGGGCTCTAACTGGCCAGGATTTCTAGTCTCTTCCTTCAATCAAAGGGAAAAGGGGGCTTCCAGAAAATGGACCATACAACTTTTAACTTACATGCAAGAAAATGGGGGAAGGGAGGAAGAAGGGATGCCTGGGTCCTTCCCTTCCCTTTGACTCCAGGCCCTAGAATGCTCAGATACAAAAATAAAGAGATGCCCAGTGACTTAAATAGGGTCTTACATTTGCTGGGCAAACTGACCAGCAGTAGAGTCATGACTACTACCTGAATGCTCCTTTGTATCACAGATTTCCTCAAAATACCCACTACCTTGTGAATACTAAGCACACTGTAACTTCTACCCTTTGCATTCTATGGCCAGGAAGACCTATAACAGATTAGATGCTCTTGTCTCCCAGGAAGGTTACAGGTTAAAAGGTGGAATTTCAGAATAAAATGAAGCCTCAGTCAAGGCAAATGACTATGCACTGTAAATATCCATGTTGCCTTTTTCAAGGGGTTACAAGTTTTATATAAAAGAATATTAATTCATACCTTAGTGGAGAATCTATTAGGGTATGAAAATGCATCTTTGTCTCAGTTAAGTAGGACTTCTGTCTGAGCACTGCTGAAGCAGCCCACAGAGAAGGGCTGCTTTCCCCTAAGTATCTGAAGCACAACACACAGCTCCCTCCAAAGGATAAAGTGAGCGACCACCCAATGAGCAAGGATTAAGCCTCACTATCTCATTCTCACTTTATATTCAGACTACTCAGTGTCTGTCTTGCCTCAGCACAGTCCTGATTATACTCCACAAAACAGTAACAACAAAAAAAGGCTTTCACCAGGGCTTGATCTTTCAGTACACCTAGAATGTATGGAACTCCAAGGAAGAGTACAAAGCTAAGGTTTCTCTAGTTACAGGTGCTTTCAACTTAGTGAGAGATAAATTAGTCATATTTTCCACATCCTGCGGGATTAAGTAAAAGCTGATTCGTACTCAGACCATTTAATATACAAGCAGATGGATGTGCATCATTATAATGCATATAGACGGCCAACTGCGAAGTTACCCTTTAAGAGATGCCATTAGGGCAACCTCAGTATTTTCTGCAGGTCCCTCTCCCTGGGTAAACTCTAAGACCCCGTGGTAGACCCTAACAGTAGGTACACACCTGTGGTGATCAGCACCTTCACCAGCCACCTGTGGAAGAGAAAAAAAGGCTTGGTATTGGTAGTGTGCATCACCAAGTACCAGCCAAGGTTAGTAGTTGCCTGAAGAGTGCAGCATGTGGACATGTGGGATGTTCACTCAACAGTAACCTGGATTATCTGGAAAGAGACTGAACAAAGAACCTAACCTGTTTTTGTGGGTAATCACCCAAATTACAGTTTCTAAAGAGTATAATTTATCGGAATGTAGTCTTTTCCTAGATTTTGGTATTGAGTAGAATCATTTTCGGCTACAATTCCCATCATGCAACATACTGCTTATCACTAACTTACCGAGTGTTGTCCCAAAAGCCTTTCCTGATTCTCAAACATATGCCATTCCCTCCTCTAACCCCTCCTGGCAACATGCCTGTGCCTTTCATCACGTCAGGACACAGAACAGTTTTGAGTACTTGTCTTCTTTTTTAGATGGAATCCTATCTTAATTACTCTGAGTACAAGGTGGGCACTTGAAAGATGCAGGATGAGAAAACAACTTCTCTTAAAAACCAGCAAGACCCAGATTCCCACCGCAGGGTTAGTCAAACAAGCACTGGGCTGGAATTCAGGAGACAGGGCTTTCAGTCTCTAGTACCTAGATGTACTATCTTGGGACAGTCAACCCCTGAGATTTTGTACCTTCTTCATAAAAATGAGGTATAACTTTTCTGTAAATCTACATCAAGTTCAAGAAGTAAAAAAAAAAAAAAAAGGTTTTTTCTCAAACAGTCTAGGCAATGTTTTCCAAAAGCCATAATATCAACCAGCCACCAAGCTAACAGTGAGTATCAACACTGACTAGTTTCTTTATGAAGGAAAATAAAGAAATAGGGAAATCTTTCAAAAAAAAAATCATCCAATAATTATTTTCTTGGCTAAAAAGAACCTACTGATTTCCTATTCATTTTTTCTTTCTATTCAATGCAAATTTGATTCCAGTAACTACATGAAAACAAAATCCACCAAAATGTGTTCTACTAACAGAAAGATTTCCCACCAACACATTTCCCAGCTCCCTTAATTTGTTCCAAACCAACCAGAACGTCTAAATATCAGGAAGATTTCCTGCTGTTTTCTTGAAAAAAACTCTGATGCTGGTGAAAGCAATCTTACTCAGTGGTCCCACTTTCCTGAAGAAACAAGAGGAAAATGAAGTCTAGGAATAGAAATGACCTATACTCCCAGAATCAAAGAATTGAGTTTTATTTCTGAGGAACTGAAATTCAATTGTCACAAGAATTTCTTGCTATCACACTACTATGCATTTTCATATGTTTCAAAATTGTAGGATGAAGTAAATGTTTTTAATCCAAAAACTCAGACACCCTCGATTTCCTCTATCCCTTCTTTTCTACTCTAAAAATTCTGATTCCATTTAATCATCTCCACTTTCCTTCCACACAACCACAACTCTACCCACTGAACAGGACTGACCAGTTAACAAGCTTTACCAATCTCTTAATATTTAGAGTAACATCTTCAACCTCACTGTGGTTTCAGCACAATAAGAGAGAACATGGCTGAAGAAAAATGAGGCAACTTGTCCTCACACCATACCTCTTACACAGAACCAGTGTCTTAAAGACAAATACAGTCAAAGAACATCACACGTGGCAGCTCTATGAAACTGATTATGTACTGAATACTAACAACCACCCTATGTACCCTTTACCTGCATGTACAAAAAAACAGTAGGTAAAGGTATCCTAATTGGAAAGCCTCAAAAACATGGTGTCGGGCCAGAAAAGTTCTAGTATATGATGCTAGATGAAGTGACACAGAAATATTATGAATGCAGCCTTTAAGCTTTCTATTATCAATGGCACCCAGACCCTCATTCTGACTGCTGGGAAGGACTGCTTACCTTCAATGTGGCGACGCACTGTCCAGACAGCATTGGGGTTACCGGGTAGCTCAGAGACAGCCATTTCTGACACCTGAGAAGATAGGAAACAAACCACAGATTCAGTGGGCACAGAACTCAGCAACTTGCTCACAACTATACTAGACAATACAGTCCCAATATGGCAGTGCTCACAATGTATTCTCGACTAAAAGAATGGAACCATATAGTCAAAGGACGTTAAGAATCAAAAAAGCTGGAAGTACTGGCAATTCCCACAACAGACTTTTTAACAAGAAGTGATGGGATACCTAGGTGGACAGTTGTAGTAGCCATAACTACATGCTTCCTTGGATATGGCAAGCCTGCATCCTCCTCAAAAAGAGAGCACGTGGTAGGAAAACAGGACATCTACATTAGCATCCCATTTCTTTACCTAGTTCCCATAATGCCAGATCCCAAGCTGTCTTTATGGACCAAATCAAATGTCAAATTTAGGAAAAATCTTCTCTTCTCCTCTTGGCTGGTAGTCATCTCTCCATCCTATACTCTCTCACAGAAGTCACAATCACACCTCTTAAGGCACTTTATCAAAAAAGTGATTTGAATAATTGTTTTGTCCTTCCTACTAGATTTTTATGTTCCTTAACACCTAGAGTCAAGAATCCCCTGAATGACCAATAGGTTCTCAAACATGAGAGTAAATGAAATATCTAAGATGAACTCAAAATTAATCTACAGGGGAAAACTAGGTGTGAGTTATGCATGAACTCTCTGTAATATCCTTGCAATTTTTCTGTAAATCTAAAACCATTCTAAAATAAAAACCATTAAAATACTTTAAAATGACTTAAGACTATAAACTAGAAAGCTTAACATACTGTACCATATAACTACATTTTGTAAGAAGAACCTGATGTATACTCATTAAGGGCATTATCCCTTTTTTAAATTTACTAATAGCAGGAATATCTGATCATGGAATAGGAAGGAGGAGGGTTTTAGAAAACTTCATCAGCAATTGTATTGATGATGAAGTGTACATGTCAGGTATGCTACACTCTATACCAAGTGGAACAGACAGACATCCTGCTCAACTGAAACTACAATCTAGCCAGACAATAAGGTTCAACAAATAGACATACAGGAACAAAGCGATGTTTATCAACTTAGAAATATATAGAGAAAGCAAAGATTTTTTGCAAAATTCGAAAAAAGTGGGCCGGGGCTGTGGACTTAAAAACGATGTTTCTTAATTGGGTCCTTTACCCCTAACACTGTACACAAAATTTTCTGTTAATGCATATATTGCCTTTTTGGTGAATGCTAGCTTTCATCAGATGCTTGATAGGATCCAATGATCAGTTACTAATCAAAAACTAATGGTCTAAACTGGGCTCATACACTGGAAATTTGGTTGCCTGATGACTATTTTGGCAGAATCAAAAGATTTTCAGATTCCCTGAAATTGCAGTATTAATAGCTAACACTTATTGAACAGTTTCTATATGCTAGACAGAGCCTGAGTTTAGTGCTTTATATACATAATCTTATTTAATTCACTTGACAATCTTTTAAGGCAGGTACCATTAAGCCTGTTTTATAGAAAAGGACAAAAGCTTTAGTAAAAGCTATAAAGTGGTAGAGCTAGAAGTAAAAAACCAAGGTCATCTTGACTGTATTCCAATACAAATTTACAAAAACAAGCAGTGAAGACCGCTTGAGAACTTGCTGTTTGCTAAACAACCACAAGCTCTGAAAGGGCATCATCATAAGATTTCTACTAACAAAATCAAGTCCAGGGTACTTGCTAAAAGGGATCAACACTAGAACCATGATAAGAAGAGGATGTGGGATTTGAGAAGATAATTTTGAGTGTCTGTATCACCTAAAAGGTCCAACAATAAAGGATTCATTACATAAATTCTGATTCACCTATGGTGGAATACTGCATAAACATAAAAAATTATACAACTCAAGAGCACATAAGAAACAAAATTAGTAAGATGCAAAAGTATACATACAGTATTAATATAGTTAAAAATACAAGGATCTAAAAGCTTTGAATAAA